TCGGATCCTCACAATTTGTCCGGTTCTGGGTTGACATTGGACCAAACCCTTCACATCTGTGATTTCCTTCTCGAGGATGTAAATTCGGCGTTGCGACATGCCAAAAATAAACTTTCCACGGGAGTTGATGGTATTCTCAGCTTCTTGCTAAGAGATTGCGCCGCTATTTTTGATACGCCTCTCCTGTATCTTTTCAACTTAATTCTCAAAAACTGCAAGATGCCTACACTGTGGAAAAAAGCCTTTATTTGTCCAATCCACAAGAAGGGCGACTTTAGGAACATTGAAAACTAGCGACCTATTTCGTTACTGTGTGCATCTACGCACATATTAAGCCCTACATAACACCCTTCCAGCATGGTTAGCATGTGCTAGATGATAGAGGCCAAGTAGATGTTGTTTACCTAGATTTTCAGAAGGCCTTTGATCAGTTGGATCATTATGTGTTGTTGCGCAAGTTGAGTTCCGTTGGATTTAGTAAACCTTTGAACTCCCTTATGAAGTCTTACCTTCGAGGTAGAGAGCAGAGCGTCAGATACTTCAACTGCAGTTCGTATCCTATTCGGCCAACATCGGGAGTGCTTCAAGGTTCAAACCTGGGTCCACTTCTATTTCTCATCATCATCAATGACATCACAGACTCCATTGATTGCGGTAAACAACTTTTTGCTGATGACCTAAAAATTTTTACCTCAGTTTGCTCTTCAGCGGATAGTGTTGTTCTTCAGAGTAGTAACGCGACAATTACTATTTCAGGCGAAGATTGGAACAGTATTCGACCTGTTAGTAGAATTTATAAGGGTAGGGCGTATAATGTGTTAAGACAAGGCTGGACCCAAGGACTGTAGAATCTAACAGGACTGCTACATCCATTGTATTTTTGTAGTCCACTAGGGATTGGTTGCCCGCACTCTACGTCACACTATTTGCCACGCCTGGTAACTGTCTGCGTTTTTAGAGGTTATATGATAGACATTAATACGTCTAAAAACATAAAACTTCAAAAATAATNCGTAGGAATGTACTAATGGTAAGGACAAAACACCTAGCAACAATAGCCACGGTCACTCAAATCGGTGCAACTAAACCGCAAGCAGTAATCGAATATAATATCGGCAAATCATTTATTGATGTCTCAGACCAAATGACCTTACACGACATCAATACTCGAAAATAAAGTGGTATAGGAAGGTAGCGTTTGATTAGTACTGAATACTGAATTTGTAAACGCTCTGTCAATTTACTCCACTATTACAGGAAAACATATGAAGATTACTGAGTTTAGAGAATCAATATTATGTATTATTCTTTCAATCCTTCTGAGGTGGTTCAAGTGGGTATAGATGTAAATAGTGATTTGCAAGCTTTGCAAAGTAAGTCTCTTGCCATTATTTTCGGCACAAACCACCTCAGACAGCAAGTTGCAGCTAATCTCCATCTATTTGTGAACAATGAACCGTTACAATTCCATAAAACAGTAAAAAATTTGGTATTTTTATGTTGTATATTTTTATTGAACGAAAAGAACCCGAATAAACCCGAATGATTCTAGTTCTAGATCTTGTGTTAGGTCTAGTGATAGTGTTAGTAACTAACACAAAACCGTATATATATATACATATATCTTTTTAATACTATTGAAGTCAGTTAAATTATACTTTTTTAAATTTTCCAACGTGCGGTGTCCTCTTGTGTCTTTTTCGTTTTCTTCGTCCTCCAACACAACCATTTCCTCATCTCAAAATTTTTGTCTATATATTCGTTTGGTGGCTAAAATTATTCCCTGGTCGATGGGCTGAATTATCGATGTTGTATTTTTGGGCAAAAACATACAATTAAATTTACCATCGTCGGATCGTAAAATATTTTCAAATGGATGAGCAGGTGCGTTGTCTAAAAGCAATACACATTTTACATCATCTGGTGGTATTTGAAGCTTCTCCTCTTGACATTTCCTGACTACAGGTATAAATTCTTTAAAAAACCAATCTTTGAATATATTTGCTGTGAACCACGCCTTTTGTGAATTATAATACAAAACGGGAAGATCATTCATTATGTCTTTTAAAACTCTGGGTTTACGAGATTTTCCAACTATGACAGGTGTCAGTCTATGCGATACATCAGCGTTAGCACAAAGCAGTGCTGATATTCTTTCCTTTCCGATTTTTCTACCGGTTGTCGATGTTTCATATCTAAAAGCTTGCGTATTTTCAGGCAAAGCACGCCATAACAGACCAGTTTCATCAGCATTATGAATCTGGGATTGCAATAACATTTCGAAATTTATCCGTTCTATTAATTTTTGTCGGAAAGGTTTAGTATCTTCTGTTGGGGCCCTAATAGCTTCGCCCTAAATTCACTTATTAAAAATGCCATGTTTTTTGCGAAAACGAGGCATTTCATAAAGTTTGTTAAAACGTTGTGTACAATTTCCGAAGGGAGTAATGATTTGGGGCTGTATGACAGCTTCAGGATTAGGATGCTTTGAATTTATTGATTGCACCGTGAACGCCGCAAAATATCGACAAATACTACAAAACAGCTTACTACCAAGTATCGTGAAATTAAATGTTGGCCAAAATTATATATTTCAGCAGGATGGAGCGGCTTGTCATACGGCTAAAACTACAAAATAGTGGTTTGGCGATCAAAATATTAATGTTCTGTCTTGGTCTTCCAACAGTCCAGATCTAAATATAATTGAAACAATGTGGCACAAAATGAAACAAACTTTGGAGAACAACCCACAACGGACATTGCCAGAACTTAAGACCAAAATAAAACAAATTTGGAATGGATTTACTCCTAAACAGTGCCGAACCTTAGTGAATTCAATGCCTAACCGAATTCAAGCGGTTATAAAATGCCCATGTCCCAATATTTAGTTGTCAGGCAAAATGTACATTTTTCTAGTTTAATTGGAAGTAATAGGATATGTATTTTGTTTTCTGCGTTGTTCATTAGACGAAATTGTTGTTAATTGTCTAATCAAATGATATTAAATTGAAAAATTTATTAAAACAAAATAATCTATTTAATTGTTGTTAATTATATACACATTTTATTGTGTCCCAATATATAGTTGTTAGGGGTCGTATTTAAATATGTACTGTTATCTATTAAACATAATATTATATTAATAATATTTCTTAAAAATATTTTAAATTTTTATACTTAGCGGAAATAAATTTTATTTTGTATTTTCAAATTAAAAAAATTTACATTATTAAAAATAATTAATTTAAAATATTTTTCCGTTATATCCGAAGTCCATTATAACGAGGCCCGTTATATCGAGATTTTACTGTATTTTGGAATCGGTTGAGGTACAAATGAAAACAAAAGTGGTATAAACGGGTACAAACGATTCTCTATCGAATTCCATCGACCGTTTTGCGATATCTATTAATAACGGAGATACATACTTTCAGCGGTATTCTGAAAAATCAAAAAATTGCTGTATTTTGGAACCGGTTAAGGTACGAACGAAAGTGATACAAACGGGTACAAACGATCTCTAGCGAATGGTATTAATAAAATTAGAATATCAAAAAGTGGGGTTCCAGCAATTTTTATCTCTTTAGGTCCTGAGGTACAAACGAAATTAATGGTGGTACAAACGATTCTCTATTGAATGGCACTAATAAAACCAAAATATCGTAAACTCGGGTTCCAGGTTCACAGAGCTCAGTTTTTGAGGAACAAATTGATTAAAATTTGTAAATTAATGTAATTAAACTGATAACGAAACTCCATAGCAAGGCGATGGACATCGATGGCAACATCTTAGTTTTACTATACTTCCATTTGTACTGCTTTTAATAGCATAAAAACGCAGTTAGTAAATTTGTTATAATTAACAATCTAAATCAGAGAAATAAATTAATGCAATAACGATTGCATAACCGCAGCACAAAAAAAAACACACGCATGTTGATAAACTTGGAGTCGAAAGTTACGAGTTTTGAACTCGTCGTAATCTAGTTAATTGTGACCGGACCCACTTAGAAAGCGAGTGCCCCATAAATTTCTCGGCCACTAAACACAAGAAAATCGCTGCCGTCTTCGCCGCAAAGATCTAAACGCACAACCTAAATCTTGAGGTAATTTTGTTGTCGTCGCCACCACTTCTCTTCCCTTTACCCACATCATTTCGAAAAGATCTAAATGCGACATACTGTATGTAGTGGTGCGTGTGTGATATGTGTGTTGTGTTCTAATTGGAAAGAAAGCCAATCTGCTAATGGGGAACGCCAACTGCGACCACCGCAGTGCGCGAATTCGATTACGGCGAGCGACGGACGCCCAACAACGACGACGACGACGTCGACGACGTTTATCACAATTAGGTGGTCGTAACGATACCATTGCCGGACGAAACGTACACACCCTCGTACGGTGGTAATAGCGATATCTTTTCGTGGTACTAGAACTAGGTACAAGGAAAGTCCACGACCCGTGGAAAATATAAGAGTGGATGTTTGGAGTGTTCTAAGGAAATTGTATATAAACTTATATGTGGATAAAAGAAAGACAAAAGAAACTAAAGGTGAAACAAAAAGATAATAAAAATTGTATTGAATTAACTTTATAAAGTAAAAATTTTAATTAACGTTATAATTTGCAACTAAATCATTGATTTTTGTGTGCATTATTCTCGATATCAATTTAGTTGGTAGTATTTGTTTAGGGGGTTAGAAAAACGAAATGGGTGTGGGTTAGGTTTGAAAGGACCGCGGCGGGGTGCGAGATAATCAGCCGTACACGTGACACGTCTCAGATGTGATTATACCGACATGTGTGGGAGGTCCCATAAGCGACTGCCATTCGGGGCCGGCTCCAAAAAGAGTGACTCGCTCCCAAGTGCGAATGGCTAAGTGGCCTTCTCTTATCTGATAGCCTGGGAGCTAAAACGGATGCGACACTTTAACTTGATGATTGATACAAAACAGTTTATTTTTCATTCAAAATAATTTTTCTTCGTTTTTTATTTTCAGTTTTGCAGTTTGTTTGGGGGTAGTTGAACAATTATCGATGTGTTGTTTATCCGTTCGTGGTCCGGTTCACGATGTACCAGCGGCGTGTTCATTCCTTTTGGCAGCTTTAGAGTTTTTGGCAGCGTTAGCGGATCATTGTCCTGAAGACACCGATCCAACCCATTTGGTAAGATTAAAAAATTAGGTAAATTATAGAATTTTATTCTTTTTTTATTAATTTATAGGTTGGTACTTTACATGGTACTGAGCTTATGGGAGCCGTTTCAATGTTGTACGGTTCTTTACTTCCACCGGATTCCTCACCAAGAATCGAAGGTCAAACACCACCTTTAATTCCAAATCCTTGCCTCAATTTAGCAATCGCTACATTTAAATTTTTAAAGCGAGTTGCTGAACTAGATCTGAAGAAATTCCAGGTATTTATTTTTATAATTTTTTTAAATACTGTTTTATTGTTAAATGTAAATAGATATTTACATAAAGAGACGAAGTTTAGTATTAAGAATAACCGATAAATTAAAAATAAGTTGTCAAGTCAAAAGTTTCAATACAAAAGTATTTCATATATTGTTGCATCTCAACTACAAGTAACCTTGACTGAACTTAATACGGAGGTGATATTGCCTAATTAAGCCGAGGCGCTACATCTAATACCAATTCAAGTTAAAACTGGTTCATATATCGTTGTGACTTGACCGCAAGCGACCTTGGCTAAACTTGGATTACCTCATTAAATTTGGATACAGAATATATTATGTTCCCTGATCGAACTGAGGTCGCTTGTGACCGAAGCGTTATAATTAATACATATTCTCCCAGAATAGGCTCCTCGCATATTCATTTGCGGCAAAATCAAATACAGGATGTTTATTAAACGCGGCAAAAAAAAGCTTTTAACACCTTTCCGATTACTAAGTCTATTGAAAAGAAATACAGTTTATTTATTATTAATATTTTGTTATATTAATTGAATACATCTCTCGATTGAGTGACGTTTACTTATTATTTTTTTTTATTATTATTTTATTAACTATTGTTAATAAAGTCCTGTACTATTGTAATAAAATCGCTATACGAACGTCGGGATGACTGACATGCAGTTTATTTATGTGCTTGCTGATGGTAATTCATTGAAAAGGCCCATTGAAATGAAGTGGAGGATCAGGAAGGCCAATGACAGTCAGAACGATAGAATTGAAAGAGAATGTGTTGAACATAATATAGGAAGAACCATTTCTACTCGAATAATTGTAAACATTTTGAATATAAGTAATAGGGACTGTTTGGAAAATTCTTAAAAATGATTTGTTGTACTTATACCATTTACAACACGTTCAAGTATTTTTACCTGCTCTTGGACAACTTAGTTTAAGAAAATTTTCAAGAAATGCAATAAGAAATCACAATACCCATGTGTGCGCTGAAGGAAATCCACATGAGCTAAGTGAAGAACGATTTCAACATCAGTTCTCGTTGAACGTTTGGGTTGCAATTATGACTAACTGGCTAGTTGGACCAGTATTACTACCAAGAAGACTCTCCGGCGTAGTGTATTACAACTTTTTGAAACAAACGTTACATCAACTTCTAGAGGATGTTAGCATTTAAGAAATTTTATGTGGATTATGCACGATGGTATACTAGCGCATTTTAGTAGTAGGGTTGCTCGTGATTTTTTGACAGTACCCGGATTGTATCCCCGTAAGGTATAATTGACGATAAATTTTGGAATTCAAATTCCATCTTTTGCAATTAAAGTCTGGATGTCATAAAACGAAATATAACCAAGTTTTACGTCAAGTGTCCTCAAAGTACCAAAGTTAACGCAAGAAGTTTGTTAACCGTTGCAGGTAAAGTGATCTTTCTGAACAATGTACAACAAAAGTTGATTAAGATAAAATGTTTGTTATGTTAAATTATAGCGATATGCCGAATTTTATTAAATTAGGATACAAAGCAAAATGCAGATTTTTAAATCATAAGATTAACAAAACATTTTCGATCTAAACTAAATTAACATAAAAGCTTATTCAATGATATCACCACCAACACTAACACATATAATTCAGCCCTTTTCCGACATTGTTTATAACTTTTTCTAATATGGTCCAACGGAATTTCTCTAATAACAGTTTCAATTTTTTGTTAAACGGTCTAAATTGTTATTAAAATTTTCAGTGTATACTTTCTGTTTTACATAACCCCAAAAATAAAAATCCATAATAGATAAATCCGGACTTCTTGGCGGCCATGGTTGCGGACCATATCTACCAATCAATTTTTTTTCCAAATAACGTATTTAAATAATTTCTAATTAAAATGGTCGAATGTAGGTCGCAACCATCTTGTTGAAAATATAATTTATAGCGTTTTTCTAAATCCACGTAATTCTTTGTAAATGAGATTTACTTATACCGACTTGAACTGCCCTTTTTCTTAACGACACCTTACCGTAATCCATTGCGTTCGTTACTGCAACAATCGACCTCGCATCATATTCATCTAAAAGCTTTTTTTCCTTCATTTTATTTTCCACATTGCCCGTTTCCGAAAATTTTTTAACAACTCTCTTAATTGTTTTTTTATCTACTAAAAATCCAAATTTTTCCTCAAATTGCCTTAAAACTGCATTGTAACTAATGTTCCCCAATCCCATAGCACTGCACTACAAATAATATTTTATGTTGTAATGTAAACATGATCAATTAATATTTGACAATAGGCTAAAGTTAAGCTATCAAATGATAATTGTTAGTTCACTGAGATCATTTGTTTTTATTGTAAAACGGAATATTAGAAAAACATTTTCAAGAAAAAACTCATTTTTTCTTTTATATGCTAAATTAATAAAATTCGACATATCGCTATAATTTAACATAATAAACATTTTATCTTAACCAACTTTTGTTGTACATTGCTCAGAAAGACCACTTTACCTGTAACGGTTAACAAACTTCTTGCGTTAACTTTGGTACTTTAAAGATATTTGACGTAAAACTTGGTTATATTTCGTTTTATGACATCCAGAGTTTAATTGCAAAAGATGGAATTTGAATTCAAAAATTTATCATTAATTATACCTTACGGGGACACAATCCGGGGACACACTGTATGGAGATCGCAGGTTTGGTCGAGGTGAACTTTACTTGTGGCATGTCCGATCCACGGACTTAAACCCCCTGGATTTTTTTCTATGAGGCCATCTTAAATCTTTAATTTACACTACTCCAGTGGAAAATGTGGAAGACTTGCGAAATCGTATAACTGCTGGCTATAATTTAATAAGAAACGATCCTGGTGTTTTTGAAAGGGTTCGTTAGTCAATGAGGAGAAGATTGAATTCTTGCATCTTAGCTGTTGGTGGTCATTTTCAACAGTTATTGTAGATTAGGAAGCTTATATTTGTAATTTTTAGTAATAAAATGTTGTTGTTGAAATCTTTGTTTATTTTTCTGCTTTCTTTCAATGAAGGTTATGGTGGTTTCTTCGAAGCAAACCGGTTTTTCAAAAACTATTAAAGAATAAAATATTCAGAATATTGGTCTCACACCACTCCATTTATATATACAAAAGGAGGCAGCTGAAGTTGATGCAGGGTAACCTCAGAGGACACCTCGATATCCTCAAGGAGCCAAGTCTAAATCACCTGATTGAAATTAAAACGGACATTGTATTCTGTCGGAATAACGACAGAATACAATTTCAACCAGCCGTATAAGGTCATATTTAGAAGCAGGGAGGATTAGGCGAAGGGTGGGCCTCAACTTAAAAGAAAAGCCCTAGCCTGGCATACCGATGCTTCAAAGACAGTTAGATCTGCCCCTCAGCTCGGACATAACCATTTTTCAAGCAGAAGTTCTTGCTATAAACTTCTACACCGATTTGAACCTACAGAAGGGCAGAAAGGTGCATCCATAAACATTTTCACAGATAGTAGGGCCGCCTTAAAGGCAATTCAGGCCTACACCTGTGACTCCGCACTGATCAGAGTGTGTACTAGCAACCAGAGAGAACTCGCTAGGGGCAATGCTGTTACCCTACGGTGGGTTCCAGGTCACAGCAACATTGAGGGCAATGAAAACGCGGACAAGCTGGCCAGAGAGGCAGCGAATATGTCCTTCATTAGACCCCAACCTGGTTGTGGACTACAAAAAAACGACCTAAAACAAATAATCAACAGTTGGGAGGTCTCAAATAGCCTTACGCTGCAAAGGACTTCCAGGTCACAGACAAGCGAAGAGTATGATAACTCCGTCGCAAAAGAAAACCAAAGAGGTTTTATGCCTCAGCAAAGGGGATATAAGGACGCTCTCAGGTTACCTGACCGGCCATGCGCCCCTAAAATACCACCACTTCCACATTGGACAAGCTGAGGATCAAACTTGTCGACTTTGCAACAACGAGTCAGAAACAGCTAAGGCCGTCTAGACACAAAATTTTCGGTAAAGCTCACTTGACACCTACCGACATAAAGGTTCAAGACCTCAGGGCAATACTAAGGTTCATCAAGGACCTACATTTGCCCTAAACTTTTGGAGGGCTAAAGTTACAACAGATCTTATAGGTCGCGGTAACGAGAGGGGCCGCTCCCTTCAGCCCGGCAACGATAATAATAATAATTGTTAGAATAGTCCAAAGAGTAACCACTTAAATTTTTACCGCATGTTTAATAAACACCTGTATACAATTTTTGACCTCGTAAAATTCCATAGCAATAATTATTAAGGCTCCCATCAAATGATCCCATTTCATAAAAATAATAAAAAATGGCTAAAGTTGTGAAACATTTATTTATTATTATAACAAATAATTGTTTAACTAAATGTTCTTATGATAATGAAAATTGCTTTTAAATTAAGTTATTATTATTCGTCGTCCAGTTCATAACCTAAGAAAAGGTCTTCTGGATTGTCGACAGCACGACTTTCTCTTCTTGGGAAACCTAACACCTTGTGAATTGACTAGAAATTTTGCCATATGTTTTAAGTCGTTGTATTTAGCAATACTGATTGGTAGGGGCTAGTTCGTGGCTTCCCTTTGTTTTTACCTCTTGAGATTACCACATAACATTTTTCTTCATATAGTGTCCTAAAAACGTGTTGCGGTAAAAAATCAATTTATCTTAATCCTTATAGAATTTTAATGCATCACATAGCCCTGATTGGAAAAGGGTATTTAAGCTTATAACAAGGTTTATATTAAATTAGTCTAAGATTTGAATTAAGTCTGAGCGCAATTAATAACTCGCAATTGTGTTGGTTTAGTTCCTCTATTTCTTATTACCTCCCTCCACTCTTCAGGCAGTTCAACATTGGCTTTTTGGTTGCTGAAACTCATGTTCTGGTCGCATTCAATGTAAGAATGACCTTGAACAGGGAACAAAACTTTCACACAATCCAATCTTCGTTTCTTTGAAACCAGATAATGGAGAAGCGAAGCACGGTATAATTTTTATTTTTCCCTTCGCAGGACTCTCAAAAATATAACAAGTTCTTGAACTGTGTCCAAAAGGTAATGATTGATAAAATGATCCAGCGTTGAACATACGTCATCACTTCTTTTCTTCGCAACAGTTTCATCGTACGTATAAAATACCGATTCACTTGTTGAGAGATCGTGAATATTGAAGGAGTAGAAGTTCAACTCCCTCCGGTAATAAACATCGTTCGTAGTGATATTGGTGCAATTATTTTTGAAAGTCTATTACAATAGCGTCCTTGTGTTTGACTTTAGGTTTATGAAGAACCTCTTCAAGGAATAAAATTTTTCAACTTTTTTTTAAATGAATGTTATGGTCAAGTTCGAGTTTGGCCAGATTTTTATTTTCTCTACTTAACACTGTTTAGTCCTCCTGTAAGAGATGCCTTTTGAATCATGAAAGCATCGCAGATACTGCATGTGTCTTTCCTTGAGTAGACACGTGATTTTTTTGATGACTAACATTAAACATCCGATGAAGTTTCGAAAAAAAAGTAACTAATGAATTAAGTTTTCAGGTAAATAAATCTTATTGGTATCTTTAAGGGAATAGCGTGACTTATGGCCTCTCAAAGACATGATAAAATCGTACAGAAGAGTGATAGTATCATTACTGCGTTTATGTAGTAGTTCTCACTCAAATTTTGTTGAATAGTTTGAACCCTACGACCTGTTATGCCATGTGCAGACAAAAATGCCTTATAATATACTTGTATGTCTTCGTAATTGTTATCTTTTTTCGCCCTCAACCTGTACGAGTATCTAATTATTGGAACAGTTGCCAAGTAGCCAGGTAACAATTTTGCTCATCAACAGTTAGCAGGCTATTGAATCCTTTTATAATTCACGTGTTTTCCTCCACAACAACATTGTCAAAACATTTAAGTCTGAACAGTTACAACCGTTATCTATCTCGTGTGACATAAGTCTTAACTTTGTAGACTGCCGATAAACACTGCTACCGTTGTTTTCATCACTTGCACTGAAATTCTCTAGAATTCAGTCAGCCAAACACTTAAATGACTATGATTTGGAAGCGGAGCACAACATTTACTAACCTCGGATTAATTTAGGTTAATTTAACTACCGAATGTTTACCCTAGTTACTGGACAAGTAGCTCACTGCTTATATTAACGGACTGAACTTTGCTCTAGGGACATTCATCGCTTTTCCCCAAGACGTATGGGACTATCGTTATTCTTCTCACTTACTTTTTATTTTAAAATGCGTTTTAAGAGGACTAATTTATTATTCCTCCTTACTCTTTCTAGATATCGATAGTACACCTCACAAACCAACAAATGTCACTATTAGTTTAGTTTTGTCTTAAAATGGAATATCATCGTTTTTTCCCCTGTCCCTTAATATTCTTATGCTTCACAACTTAAAATGGAGATGATAAGGTACTTAATTAAGCCAAGGTCGTTAGTGGCCGAGGTGTCACATCTAATACCACTTCAAGTTAAAACTGGTTCCCATATCATTATGCCTCGACCGCAAGCGACCTCGTCTAAGCTTAGATTGCCTAATTAAATTTAGACACGAAATATAAATAGTTATAATTAATCAGGTTCCTGACATATTGTTATGACATGACTTACAATAAAATGTAATGAACATCTTCTTGATAAATTCAATTTTACTTGGATTTTTATGAATATCTTGCTTCCCTGCCTGATCATCATTACCATTTTCGTAAATTCCTAAATCAGGTTATTCTTCTACTTCCAATCGATCTTCTTCCCACAATTTTTCCCTGGATTATTAGGTGCAGAAACTCGTACTTTGGACCTCTGATAATGTGGCCGAGATATTGCAGTTTCCTTTTTTTTACTTCTTGCAGGATCTCCTTGTCCTTCTTCATTCTTCTCAGAACCTCCATATTGGTTATATGTTCTGGCCATGATACTCTCTCAGCATCCTACGCTAGGCTCACATCTCGAAGGCTTCCAATTTTTGCTCGCAATACACATTGGTGTATTATCATATGGTGCATCTTCTTGATCTTCACAAAGGATGCATGGGCTTCCACAACGCGCGATTTTTTTCCAAACATTAATACTTTATGACGAATGTTTGCGTGCAGAGTCTCAATGAGCTACGAGTCTGGCTTAAAGGAAAGAAGACTGCTTTACGATTTGGAATTCCTATGATATGGAAGGAGTCGAAAAATTACTCTGATGGCTGTTTCTGCTATTTGTCTGTGGGTATAATCGCATAAATTAAAAGTTACTCTCTTATCTTGATGAAATTTCATCGGCCATACTGCCCTTTTCTCCAACTGAATTCCAGTCATCTCTGCACTCAGTAATCAGACTCGGAACATCCAGATGTTTAAGGCTTCGATATCGAATATACTTGAACTTAATGATTATTAAAATATAAAAATGAATTAATTAATGATTATTAACCAAAGGAATCTCTTTTTATTAGTATAAGAAACGAGAATAGAAATTAACAACACGATTAGTACTCCGTGACAGGGTACACCAGATCCAATCCTGTTGATCTAAGTGTGGACGCAAAGAAGCTCCATGTGGTGCCGCTCCGCTTTTGCAGAATATTATTTCGGGTTCTAAGTTTTACAGTTGTCTTCGTAAGGTGTTCTTTAAAGACATCACTCCTTTGGTTTTATTTTAATTACGAAATTAATTCATGAATTGGACTCATGTTCAATTCTTGCTTATTGTGAGCTTCCATCCTGTGATGGACTGTTTATACCTCGATTTGCGCTCGTTTCGTAAGTTTTTTGAGGTTAACCTCATTTTATTGTTTCACTAGATTATTAATTTTAGACATGTAATGTTTTAATGAAGGATACAAAATAAATCCGAAAGCTTAACGTTAATAAAGAAATAGCGTCTTATTAAGCGCATTGCCGATCATTTCCAATACTAATTTTTCGAAAGCTAACATAGTACGGAAAATACTACCATACTATTTTAAAGCTTAGCGTTTTATCGAAAGTGATATCTTTGTATTGGGTGTTTGTTGTGATTGAGAAGTCTATCTTCAAGGTAGATTTTAAGTTGGTCATCCTGTTGTTTAAGTGGAAGCACGTTGCTTCCGTCTTGGTGGTATTGGGCTGCAATCGCCAGTCGGGGAAATATCTTCTTAGGGTAACCAGGTTGTTTGTTAGAATTTGCCTTCAATACTTTATGGTTTGTATATCTTTATGGTTACAAGGTCCCAACCATCCGGACTTCTTTGATGTGGTTTCGGGCATGTCTGTTAGGTAGAGACTGAATAGCAGGGGAGCCAGCACCAATCGAAAACCCTTGTGGAATACCATTGTTCAGTTTTTGTCACTCTTGATGACATTAAAGCATCTTTTAGGTAGCATTAATTTATATATTAGCCCTTGTCGTCACTCGATATCGCGTGCAGCTGATAAGTCAATGAAAAGTAGATGTCTTTATTTGCTTTTGGAAACCTGTTTCCACATAGTTAGTCAGTACGAGTACTTCGTCTGTGCAGCTGAGGTTTTACAGGGCCTTTTACAATCCTGCTTATTGTAGTATTGTTAGGGCAATTCTGTCATATAGCAATCTTATAAAAAATTTGTAGGCCATGCTTAGAATTGGACACTTTGTCTGGTTTTAAAATGGCGACAACTTTTGCCCTCTTAAGTTGATGGGGATCATTTCTAGCCTGAATGATATCCGAGAAGAACTTTGCAAGTCTTAGTAAATCTGCCACTATGCCTCAAAAACTCAACATGAATGGCATCAAAGCCAAGAAGGAGCTTTTCGCGTATTCATTTCATTCAGAGCTTCCACATTTCTCCACAGGTGAAGGTGCTGGAATATTCTGTTTCAAGTGCAGAGAAGAATTTTAAAGTATTGAGATCTTTTTTCAACAAATCACGCAAGATAGAAAGAGCTGGACAAAAAATACGAGAACCTATGTTCAGCAATGGGCAATACAGGTTGGAGGATGATGATGATTCATTGTGAATCATATTTTCGATCGAGATGTTTTAAACCAAAGTTCTTTGATCCAAACTTTCGATTGTGATGGACATTTTGAGATCTTGATAATTCTTTGCGAGGTATTTTGCCGTTTTAGTGAAATTCGAAAAAGATTTCGAATTATATCTCTATATAAAAGTAAATTACATTGCTCTAAACGCCACATTTAACACCAATTGTCTGCAATAAATGGTGGATGTAAACCTTTCCACACACACACACTGTATAAAGTTTAAATGTCAATTGAAAATCGGTTCGAATACTGCGATATCGTATTCGCGTCATTGTTTATTCTGCGTAATTACGTACAAACATGGGTGTATAGCGGTGGCGGTACGAGAGGCTCGTTTGAGAGGAGTAGTAGCATTGCACGGGCGGTGCCCATCGGGGGCAAAACAGAGCAAACAGAGATGGTCCTATCGTTGGCGAATTAACTTCGACTCGCTGTGCACAAAGCTAATTTCCAATTGCGGACAAGATGATTCAATTAAAACACAACGGCCGCTGTAAATATAGTTAGAGGCCGATCTGCAAACAGAGGGCGATTCCACGATGCTCACGGGAACTCCTCTCAAACTCTCCCTCTCTCTTTAAATCGCTCCGTCTCTCCAATTTGATTATTAACTTCCACCCGAGATTTTAATAATTTTAATTTGCTATTCAAAATATTTTAGATTGAATCCATTTTCTTTTTTACCATGAAATATTCTCACGAAGTTAATCCGTTTACTAACCGCTGCGTATACGCACTGTCCCTTTCGAGTACTCTCTTGGGACAAACAGAAAAGGAGCATAATCCCTCGGGGTTTTGCCCCCAAAAAGCTATAATCACCGAATCTAATTGATTCAAATCGATACCACCACAGCTTCGTATTTCTTGTTTATGTTTCAGGAAGCTTTAGGAGCCGAAGGAATTTCGTTACAATTCCGCCACATAGCCAACCATTTAATTTGGTGTTGCGCTTCCCCGGATACTTCCGGTTTATCGCCGTCATCGAAAGGAAATCAAAGTTCTCAAATCCTGGAGCTACACCAACAATTACTACACGAAGTTATATACGTCATCGGGTACTTTGTCGTAAAAAACCACGAGAATCAAGTAAGTTTAATTAGAAATTAGGTTAGATTTTTTCAAGAGAGGATTTTTCGATTCCTTCGGGAAAAGTTGTTATCGTCTCCGACTCTTGGAGTTCGGTCGCATTCCTTACTCCGCAGTCCCGCCGCCGTCATTAAGATAGGGAGGCGCCAGCAGTCGGAGAACGAAAACTTATTGAAGAAGAAGAACGAAACGAGAGAGAGTCGACTTTGAGCTACAAAGACTCAAGAGGTATCCTCGCGAAGGAATCGTTATCGCGTTGATAAATGACGAGCGCTGTCGCGTACAAGAGGTTACATGACTGAAATTGGATAGTAGTAATAGCGGGTGAATGCGATGTGAAGAAAAAGAAGAAGTGGGGAAGCATGTTCTCGTTGCTACTAGATTTTGAATAGACTTAAAATTTTCTGACTCATAATGTTATTATTACAAAAAAGAAAATTAAATGGATTTCTTTTTTCTAGATGCTTCTAGTAAGTGGTCAACCACCATCAGTTCTTCAACAACTTTGTTCTTTACCTTTCCCGTATTTCTCGGTTGAACCGCTTTCTAAACTTCTTTATCCAACTCTTCTTGCTTGTTGTGCCAATAATGAGCACACCGTTGCAATATTAAAACAAGAATTATCTTACGAGGTAAGTCCTAAAAATATTTTTTTAACTATTACGATATAGATAGATTTTTTTTTATATACAGATTTTGGAAGAATTCAGTAATTCTGATGTAGGAAAAGAAATCCGTCTAATAAAACTATTAAACAAGTAAACTCATCGCTTTCTTCGCCATCCAAAGTGTCTTATATCCGCTTTAAGCGTATATTATATAGCGAATTACATGTTGTGGCGTAGTCACGAGATTAAACGAAGTGCAAACCGCTGCAGAAGCCGCTTGTAACCGATAATAGAACTAATTATTTCTATTAACGTTATCCAATAAACACATTAACATTGCTAACTAATTTCTCTTCGTTGTTTCTTGTGGGGGCGTCGGCGTCGCTTAGGAGGTGTTTAAGAGACGTTTTCGGTCAGATTTGTGATAAGAAATGAAAAAAAAAAATGATTATCAGGATATGTAAACAATGAAATGTTTCGAATAAAATTGATTCAAAAAGTATTTAAACGAAAGTAGTGAATAATAACCAGGTTGTATTTACCATTACGATAAAAAGTATTGTTTTTTTTTTTGGTTATTTGACTATTGTATTAATTTAATCAATGTATGTGGCCGTGTATTCTATATTTTGTACCAACGTAGTTTTTCTATTAATAAAATAAAGATGGCGCACAAACATTTGTTTTTATTTATTTGTTATTAATTTCCCATTTAAAAAGTACCCTAACTAAATCGTTATTAATTTCCGATTCTTTCCAAAATAACAATTTACATTTGTCATCCTTTGAAATCTGTAACGAAGATGCAACATTATCATCATGTTTCTCTAATTTGGAATTTCACAGTGTGAAAGGAATTTAAACAATTCATAAACTCTTCCTGATAATTTCCTGTAACATCAGGAATTACCTTATCTACAACATTTGATTGAGCGAAGTAAACTTTCCTTTTTAAATATCTCCACTAAAAACAGTATTAAAGTTTATACCGGGTTATTTCGACTTCTGCATTAATTAGGAGCTTGATGCAGACTTCAATAAGAACTGTGTGGAGATTTTCTGCAATCTTGATGGAGTCTTGAATCTGTATAAACTTGACTTGACAGAAACATTGAGCTCTTTCCATGCAGATATAATGAAATACTAATTTAAAACTGAATAATATGCATCTATCAAGACAGAAAATAAAATAGATATTTGATGCAGGCTTCGGAATTGTTGCGACAATTTCATGCAATCTTGAAGAAATCTTGATACAGTTTTGAGGAAAACTTGATGGAAATTCTATATAGCTTATCACTGCTAGTTGCAATTTTGATGTAGTTCCAATGTAGCTGGAAACGTCTTGATAAAGATTTGATACAGGCATAATAAATAGGACTTAGTACTGCAACTATCAAGTCAAGAAACATAATGGAGACTTGATGCAGACCTCAATGAGTTGATACAGATTCAATATGGAGATATATGGAGATATTTTGCAATTTTGTAGGTCTGTTGAGGTATTCTTAATCGTAAACGTAGTATTAATACAAACCCGATAGGCATATGATAGAATCTTTATTTTGTACAGATTTGATTCATCAGGAACATGGTGAAGACTTGACGCAGACTTATGTAACCTTGACTTATCTATGGAGTTTTTATGTAATCTTCAACGAGCTTTATTGCACTTCAATATGTTGATTGACTTTGATATGTTGAATGAAGACTTGACTTTGTACAGATTTGATTTATTAGAAACATGGCGAAAACTTGATGGCGCAATGTCTGATACAGTCTTGATGGAGATTTTGGTCACCATAGCAACGAAACTAAGAACAATACAAACAAACAAATATAGCCAGAAGGTTTTATAAGAATGTTTTTTTGCGATTTTTCCGTAAAAGGAGAATTTTTAACAATACTTCCTATTGTACCCTTTAAGTGGCCCATACACGATGACTCTTGCGGCGGTGCCGCCAGAGCCGCCGCAAGAGTCGCCGCATGCTACGGATTTTAACGGCCTACACACGTAGACTCTTGTGGCGTCGTGCCGCACTTCTTTAACCACTATCGACGGACCTATACCAATGCATATCTGGCCAGACAATAGCCAAAAAATTGGCTGCAGAATACCAATATTACTTGCAGAAGACTAAATACTTCCTATAGAGGACAAATACTACCTATACAATACTAGAAACTGCTTAAAAAGATAGATATCGTCTATAGAAACCTAAGTACTGCTACCAATAGACTACAAATTGGTTGCAAAATACCAATACTACTTGTAGAAGACTAAATACTGCCAGCAAAAGGCTAAAAACTCCTTGCGGAAGACAAATACTACCTATACAATACTAGAAACTGTTTGCAGAAGATAGATATTGTTTATGGAAGGCTAGGTACTGCTACCAATAGCCAAGGAATTGGTTCCAGAATACTAATACTGCTTGCAGAAGACTAAATACTTCCTATAGACGATCAAAAATTCCTTGCGGAAGACAAATACTACCTATGCAATACTAGAAACTGCTTAAAAAGCTAGATACTGTTTATACAAGGCTAGGTACTGCTATCAATAGACTACAAATTGGTTCCAGAATACTAATACTGCTTGTAGAAAATTAAATATTGCTGGCAGAAAGCTAAATACTGCCAGACAATATTACAAGCTCATTTATGGCGGTAGTTTTTCAGTTTCTGTTGATGTAACTTTTTGATATTCAGTCGCATAAACATGGGTACATTCTATATAGGTTTATAAATTTTTTCCAAAAATCTTTTTCGGCGGACGATGCCATTTCGATGGACGTTGGAAATAAACTAAAGCGATACTTTCGGTGTTGTATGCACGTCGCAATCCCATACACGTTGACTCTTGCAAGGCGCCGGAGCCTGCCTCGTCTTGAAAAAACAAATTTGCCAAAAAGTAGGCATAACAACCTTTGCATAAATTGGTTGCTATGCCTACTGACGGAATGATTGGTAGAAATCATAGATTTTTAGCCCGTTGCAAACAAAATGAACAGTTTCCTGATTTCATATCATTTCATTGTATAATTCATATTAATGCTTTATATGCAAAAATTTTAGAAAGGAAAAAATGTTATTGCGTTGTTCAGTTCGGTAAATGCTTTTAAGGCAAAATTAAAACTTTTTGCTTTATACTTAAAAAAGTTAAATTTGAAATATTTTCAATATTTAGAACAACATATTAAACTGGGTCTCCATCAGAAGTGGCTCACCCCCATATTTTTTTTTTATTATTAGTGATATAAGAAAACTATTTGGAATGCATTAGGCCGTTAAAACGGACTATTACGACATGAAATCATTATGTTTGTGCACCCTGTATATTCTTGATTTATAAATGAGATTTTATGTAATCTTGAACGAGCTTTGTACACTCCAAGATGCAAATCGGTCATAAATATCATCAAAAATTTCTTAAATTTAAAGATCTATATCTTAATGATTTATAGAAATATGTATCGAAACCGTAGTGGATATTTCTCCAGTAAACGCAAGTATTGCCGAGCAGACAATATAAGGCTTCTATTAAAATTTCAATGTAGTTGCATGATAGATCTAGAAATGAGATACTTAACTATTTGAAAATTCATGCACCTGATTGTACTGTAAAGCGATTGGGCAAATTTGATCCGTCGATATTGAATCGTAAGCGCCCATTGAAAATCTCTTTCCTCCTCTGATGTAGTTCACAATGTTCTTAAGGAACATTAAGTCATCATTAAAATCTGATAAGTTCAAAGCTGTTGTTAACAACAGACAAAACATCGCTGCAAAATTCTTTCTACAAATCTATCAAAACACGAACAAAAACTCACCAATTATACACCGCTACAAATTCTGCCGGTTTCGATATAATTTTGCTTACTTTTGGTAAGCAAAATTATATCATGGCTATCTCCGGACATCACCAACTCTGAGTTGCTACCTACTACATTTAATGTAATTAGAAGTGATCAAGCAAATCAAATTGTTCAACTGTGATGTGTCCGAGATTTTAAATCTTGATGTAGTTGTTGGTAAATGTGTCTATTTCTCGATCAGCATATTTATTATTACACTATACATACCTCCTGATGTTCCGCTGGATGATTTGGAACTGTTTCTCGATTCTAGAGTGGTTTTGATGTGCTCGGATATCAATATTGCTGTGGAAAAATTTTACTATAACATCTATAACGTTGTTATTGAAAAACATGTACCCACTAAACGTATATTGAATATAAAGGAGCACTACTTTAAAAAGTGGAAGAGATCTAAACAACTATCATATTACGATGAATATGTTAGGTTGCGCCGTTTATCCAAGGATGCAATAGATTCTGATTATCAGGTTATCCCGTGAATACCGTAAATTGTATATCCACCGACCCCAAAAATTTCTGGCGTTACGTGAATCAGAAACATGGTAATTCGCGTATTTCAGACTATATGACCTTTGCTGGCTCTGAGATTTCTGATCCCTCGGCCTTCTCTGTCTTGTTTTCTGAAGCCTTCAATCCTGGACTTACAACTATCAATAACTGTAACCAGCAAGTCAACTGTCCTGGATCCTTCTACATTACTCCATTCTCTGCCGAGGCGATAGAAATCTGTATGAAACGATTAAAGAGTGACTTTACCGCTGGCGACGATGGTCCCCCAAGTTTTATTATTAAAGATTGTGCACCCTTCCTCAGCAGACCTTTAACCTTAAACCCTAATTTATTCGGATAACGCCGGTTTTTAAAAAGGGAGACAGATTTAGTATTGAAAATTATCGACCGATTATGCTCAAAGATCTTCGAGGTGTTGCTATACTCCAGAATGTTCGCCCATATATATCTGATCACCAGCACGGATTTATGACTGGTCTTTCAACTATGACTATTTTAGCAGAGGTAAGTTCATCAGCAAGCACATGGATAAACGGCAACAAGTTGATATAATTTACACAGATTTTACAAAGGCATTTGATAGATTAGATCATGGAATACTTCTTTCTAAACTCTGCAGTCTTGGATTTATCAATGATTTCGTGGATTTAATTTCACCTTACCTCTCCAATAGACTTTGCTATGTGAGCTACAACGGTTTTAAGTCTGATACGTTCACTGCTGGCTCTGGTGTTCCAACCTGGGTCCCCTTCTTTTTAATATTTATCTGAATAATCTATTACGACGACTTGATTGTAATGCGCTTGCTTACGCAGATGACTTAAAGATATTCGCTCGTGTAACATCCCCTGAAGACTGTGTTATCTTACACTCAATCTGAACATTATCAGTTCCTGATCTGTACAGAATGGAATTGATCTTAATATAGCAAAATGCGTTGTCGTATCTTTCACAATTTGTGGGGGAGTTGAAGCAATACGCAGAGAACGCGCTATTCGAGATCTTATTCGATGACCAGTTGCAATTCAAAGACCATGATAACGGTATAGTAAAGTCAGTCTCTGTTGGGTGCATTGAGTTTTATCATCAGACAATGTAAAAAATTTTACAAAGTAGCCGCATTAACAGTACTTTTCTATGCGTTTGTTTGTACAAAATTGGAATATGGTTCTCTGGTTTGGTATCTTTGTTATACTTCTCACCAGCTTATGCTCGAGAGAGTGCAGAAGAGGTTCTTAAAATACTTACATTTTAAAACAGTTGGTCAGTATCCGGAGCGAGGTGTTGACCACGTT